CCCGCCCCCGTCATCTTAGTTCAGACTACCCAAATTGGCTTTTCTCACGACGGGCTATCGCAATTCCTTCATTCCTAGCGCAAAGGCCATCGTTCGTTTAACTTGTTCTGATTCTTTCAGTTTCAGATTTGCTGACTTCTGGGATCGTTGTCGTTACAAACCTAACGCTTCGGACCTATCAACACACTATTTACGGCCTGATCCTTTCGTTAGTCTCCCTACTCATGTGCAGTGCTAACGAGCTAATATTTCATTCTGGCCTAATAATAGACGCGTAACCCATGGGAAGTTCATTCGAACTCAGTCGGGACTTTTTATGGTATAAAAAGCATTTTGGATTGAATCGGTTCTTCTCAGCTTGGGCCTATGTGAAGACTTACGAGGGCCAACCAGTCTGGAGGACGGTTTGCTCCCATACGGACCTGGTACCAATGAACCGATCCCAGTGGGATTGACGCTGTTACGTGATCCGATCCTGAGCGGTGCGCGTGGGAAGCGGTATCACTTGGTCTTCACACCTTTGCCTATGGACCGGTGTGAACTAATCTTCCTTTTGACCTGCCTATTTTTCTTTCTGAAAAGGGGGATATATGACAGAGAATCATGCCCAACTCCTCTTTGGGCGCATATTCCGCAATGGGCAGAGAGATGGGTGGAGACTCGCAACCACTCGGCCTCTCTCACCAGGTGCGCCCCTTCTCTTTGCAGTATTAGAGTTAGGGGCGCACCAACGAGCGAGGCAGAGCGGTTAGAGTCTCCGCCCACTCGCTTATAGAGCAGTGCTCTCTAATTCCACACAGCGCTACATGAGAGGATTCTGCAAGACCTCCTTTTTTCTTGCAGTGTCACCAATATCTTCACTGAGGTCGACACAAGTAAGTGCTATCCATTTCCAAAGCTGAGCGTTTTACCTGCGGTGAAGAGCTGCATGTTCAGCCGGAAATCGGAACGGTTTCGTCGTCGGTGAAAAGATTGGACTGCATTAGGCCCTATCTATTCCGTGCGGCACTGCCCGCGAAAGGGATTAGATACGTATCGATTGATCTGCGATGCTATGAGGCACATTCCCACATCCCTAGTAAAGAGAGGACGTGGCTGCGTTTGCCACAGGGCACATCATTGGTTGGGATTTTAGTCGAGTCTGTACGACCCCCCTCCCGACCCTCTGTCGTTCCTTCCTCATTGACTCCTAGAAAGGCCAAAAAGTAAATACACCCCCCCCCTCCCAAAAATGATCAAATACGACCCCCCTCCCCTTTACAACGTCCATGAAGCGAGAAAAATCAACTATCAAAATAAATTTTTCCCAGCCCACTCTCCTGGCGGCCAAATACGACCCCCCCCCTATTGGGAATTCCCCAAAAACGATGTGCCCTGGTTTGCCATTTGGATTTGGCGGGTGCTGGCGAGGTGTTGCCGTTTCGGGACGATTATGATCATGTCTTTGCACAACACAAGGCAGAACGATAGTTGTCTATGGAAATATGTCGTGGAAACGCATCTTACGCCATGTTCAAATGAAGTACGCTGCCCCGCCCTCCCGTCTTTCAAGATGTGGAGGGTATCAACCCGATTATGTGTCTGATTAGTTCATGTCACCGTCTTTAAAATTAAAAAAAACGGGTTTTCGCTGAATCTTGGGTAAGCTCCCTCAATTCTTGAACAGCGCACTCCTGATTTTTCCGACCTCCGGATGAGGATGTATTTACGCACGTAGACAATCTCATCATATTTCCGGTGTTTTGAAAATTTTATTATTTGACTGCTTCATGGATACTCGCAGAGCGTTTTTAATGCAATCCGGTTACTTTTTATCAGACCAAGTCAAATTACTTGTTACACCTTCCGTGTTCGCTGTTGACATCTTCTGAAGGCGGATGTGGACGCGACTGTGTTTACCGCTCGTTAGTGGTGTAGGCTTACGTCATCCTCAACCCTGCCCTTACCCCTCCTCTCCACTCTTTCCCGAACATTCTCTACGTCACCCGTGGGTCGCACTTAACCCGGTTTTTTTCATTAAAAAAACAGAGTTGATAGGGTGTTTTAAGATCTGCGGTATCGAGTTCTCTAAGGAGCTCGACACTGCCCGTCCTCCAGGGCACTACCTTGAGACCCCCAGCGGGGGTCGTATTTGGCAGCGGGTGGGAGGGGTCGTACTTGGGCGGGGAATTTCTTTTTGATAGTTGGTTTTTCCTACTTCACGCGCAGTTGCACCCCTCCCCCTTCTTTTCTCGCTAGTTGGCGACGCCATCTTCTGATGTTGGTCGTGACATTTATCCTCCCCTTTTTTATCACCCCTTTCGGGGGCAATTTTCGGAAAAGCTCGGAAAAATGATGGTTGGTCGATCGCGGAAGAAGGGGGGGGGGTTGTACTCATAAAAAATTCTTCCCAAAGCTAGCATGTGCCTTGCCAGCCACGGACAGATTTTAGGGACATTCAGGGTTATACTGTTTAATTTACTCTACGTTATGTATAGAAGTTAACCGGGTTCTGAACCTTTTACAAAATATTGATTCAATGCGATCTTTGGCGCAAACCCAGCTGTTTGGTGTGCGTGCGAGTAAAGCGCCCGCTCAGGACAGTTATTGATTTTTCACGTATGACGCACTAATTCGCTGAATTACGGATTAGTCCCAGTGAACCTGCTTTCAGCGCTACAGCAGTGACTTCAACATTTAATTGAACTTCCTCATCTCGCCCACGAATGAGCAATACTTCTACGGCAATCATAAGAGTCGGATCTGCTCTCGTCCTATACTAGTTAACTTACCGGTTAGCAAATATTATTCTTCTATCTGGTTAAAGGAACGAATCGAACGAACCAGTTCATACCCGTATGAGCCGAACCCTTGGGATATCGGGCTGGATTTTTCGAATTCTGAAATTCCACGAATTCTTATCTATTTCCTGAGAATTCACCCAATCCCTGACTTGCCAAAGTCATTTGTACCTGCTCAACGAGAACTCATGTCAATCCATATGTCTACTCACGAAAATCGACGAGAAGCAGCGCTCTGAAGCGAAGAGATAAGCTACTATCCTTGCTCCTTACGAAACAGACGGCAATTGAGACGTTCGCTACGCAATTGCACGAAGAGCTTTGTCATTCACGTCGATTGTGATGCACGACATCGCACGTGAGCGGTTGCACTTATGGGTCGATTCATTTCTTGACATTCCAGTTTTTCCCGTTTTCGCAGCAGAATGCTTCTGACTGTTATTATGAACTGTAAGGTTGTAATTTAGTAAAGTAGCGCTTCATACAAACAACTGACTTATCAATTTTCGTTACTCGTAAGTGCAAAACAATCGACTTTTACACCACCGTGATGCGCCCGCTGATCAGCTGACCCGTCGATGTGCACGTTCGATAACATTTCTACCAGCAGGGCTTCCTACAGAGTTTTTGTTTCACATCACTTCATCAGCTTTATGCTTGTCTATGTTTCCATACTGTGAATTACTTCTTCTTCCCGTTCATTCTCTTCACGACATCAATTTGTCATTCTCACCGTGCATATTGATTGTTTATTGATTTGCGGTGTGCGATCTTCGTGATGCTTTCTCCTTTGTGCACGATTCTCTTTTCACAGCGATCTTCCTAATGTTTCGTATTGGAGTATCGATGTTTAGCCTATGCCTATTGACTTTTCGTTTCGCCCGAACTAGTGTAACGTGATATAGATAAGTGTTGACTATTTGTTCGATTTCCGATACGCTTCGAACGTTCCACCAGTCTATCGCTCAAAGCACGAAACCATTGGTGATTCACGGCATTTGGGAATTTCTTCACGGCATTTAGGAATTTCTCAGAAAACGCTTGGTTTTTCCCGGCTTTTGAGGTCTTCTTCACGGCATTCGGAAATTCCCTCACGGCATTCAGGAACTTCTCGGTAAACGCTTGACTTTCTTCACGGCATTTCGGGAACTCTTTTCCGGCGTTGAGGAACTGCTTTACGCCATTCGGGAACTTTTTCACGGCATTTGGGAACTTCTTCACAGCAGACATTCTCATCGGCCTGGTTTTCACTAAACAAATTGCTTTAGTGTAATCACCTCGGCTCATTCATTTATCACTCTTAGGATGCGTTATTTGAAAGTAAAAATCATTTCCAAACATTTTAGTGAATTACGCATGAGAAAGCTTTAACAATAAGATTTAAGGTCAGGAAAACAGGCGGTATACAGTACTTCCGGAAATTGCGCGTATAATTAAATATGTCCTATCCGTGAATGCACACAATTCGGCGTACCGTGGGCCGGTTTACATATCCGTTTGTTAGTCTGTGTTGTATGCTCGCATAACCTGGTCAGCTTGCCTGCCAAAGATGATGTTTCATCTTTGGCCCGGGCTCTTGAGCGCGAAGGCGGGGGTTGAGGATCCTCCAGGGTGAAGCCGGGAAGTGAGAGTAACGGTAACTCCGACTTCCTCCTGACCATGGTTCACGAAAACAGGTAGAATACAGTACCCACGAAAGTTGCGCGTGAAATTAATGTATCAGCTCCGTGAGTTCACACAGTTCATACCGTAAGCCGGTTTAGTTGCACAAGTTTATAAGCATGTGTTGTACGCCTTTTGCAGAACCTTGTTGAGGTACATTCAGTTGGTGGTCCCGGACTCTTGCACGCTGAGGGGGGAGGGGAGGGAAGCGAGAGGAGAGGGTTAAGGATCTCCGCGGTGAGGCCAGTAACAAACAGCAACCCCAATTCCGCTTTCTCACCTGGCCAGGGGATGTTTGGCGTAAACTAAGTGGTGTTGTGTGCACTCGCTGCCCCTAAGCTTTCAGTTTTGCGTGCAAATGCTTTGTGGAAATTCCATTTCGTACATTCATCTCCATATTTCGTCAACGGACGTGCAATTTCTATCGTGGCATTTCGTGATAAAGCTAGCTAGCTTAACGTAACGAATTTATGTATTTCAGGCCCTGTTTTATGGGGAATTAGTATTCGTTGCCGCCTCCAAAGAGTGTGCTGCAACGACGAGCTCGAAATTTCTAAAATGCAACGATTTTATGGCACTCATCCATTGTCGTCATCATTTGACGTTCAACGTTTCATTTTAATCTTGCTCACTGTTCACGATATTTTCGTCAAAGGACAATACGTCGTTGAAGTGGTGAGTTGAAACTTTTATTTAAAGACACTATTGGGGGTTGACTGGTGGGTGGAGACAGGCAATAGCGTCATTGGCGCTCCATGTCTTTCCTACTTTGCTCACAGCCGCAAAAAGCGGGAAGAGGAGGGGCGCGCCAATGACGTTCTTTTCTGGCTCTTCCCACTTTGCCATTCCCAACCGTGTCAATTGACTCATTTTTCATTAAATACAGTAAACGTTCATTGTCGAAGGTCGTCATGCAAACGAAAGTAAAAGCCCTACTATTTTTTCAGTGCGTACTGTTCAATACAGAGGGTTTCGATTACGATTCGAATAAGCGTAGCGTGATATGCGGGGACATTTTTCAACCCTGTGAAACCATTCCGCACAATTTTTTTTGTGTGCTGTAAAGGCTGAGATAGCTAAAATGAGATAGCCACTCTTTAAGGAGTTTTCGGGGAATTTTTGAGCCTAGGTTCGAAGTTGACCCTTCTAAGAGCTCCTTCCTTCACTTCTAATTCAGCTCACGTCCTGCTGTTGAGGAAAATTTTTGCAATGTGCGACCTCCCCTCAAAAATTTCCCTCTGGTCCCCATCCTACCTACAGTCTTCCTAAAATTTTCTCACTAACTACCCTTTCAGGAGCTTTTTTCAACTTCCTTCAATGTTGCTCCAAAATTATTTGATAGTTACGCCTTCCCCCCCCCCCTTCTTTCCCATTTTTCTTCCCACAGCTCTTACCAACTTTCTCAATTCCCCTATGAGAGGGAAAGAGGTTGAAAGCTCTGACCAACTATGAGGAAGTTAAAAGTTCTGCAGTCTAGAGGGTGATGTTCATGAGGGAAACACAAGAATCAGTAGAAATTTTTCCCCATAACAAACACCTATCGCCTCTCCAGCGGCCATATACAACCCCCGTTGTATTTCACTCAGTGGGTAGTGAGCCTGGGTCACATGACGTTCCACGGCACTTCATTGACGTGGATGGAAAAAGCTCAGGTGAAGCTCTTTCCACGAAATGTGAAACCCCTTTTTTGCATGGAGGGATTAGCCTTAACTCCTGATCTCCTAGCACTGAGGAAAGACTGAATGTCGTGAGATGCGATTTCCTCGTCACTGACTTGTCATGGGACGTAGCAAATCTTAACTCGTAACATTAACATTTTTCCAGTAGGCATATAGAAGATTGAACGGCGTTCTTTATTATTTACAAGGTCCTAATCAATAAAAAAAGAGAGCGAGAAAATCAAGTGTCTACACTCACACTGAGCCCTTTTCCACTTTTTTCTAATTTGGACCGCAGGCATTGTTAGTATAAGGGCTTCTCGCCGAAGACTATGATGGGAGGAGCTCCTGGTACACGCGAATTCATTCCTTTCAAAAATGGGGTCTCGCCTCCTATAAAAAATGCCCCCCCCTCCCTTAGGGCTTTTCTCCGCCCCATGTCGCTAAACATGTCCCAAGACGTATCAGAAACGTATTGGAATCAGGGCACGTCCTGCCGCTGGGGGAATTTTCGAAGAAGACGCCCCTCCTCCTCCGTTATTCCCTCCTCTATACGATACTACCCCTCTTCCCCATCCTACGTACCTTTTTTCCTAGATTTTCCCAACTTACTACCACTTTTTGCAGCTTTTCTGGAATTTTTCAAGAATTTTCTAGTTTTCCCTGAAGATTCTGCTGTCGAGCGAGGTGTTGGGGGGGGGGGAGGGCAAGAGGGATCGTCAGCAAGCAGGCAAATATGGCCATTGCCTCTCCTACAACGAGCCAATACGACGCCCCCTCCCCCTGGTTATTGGAACAAAACAATTTAAAGGCAGCTCCGCGATAAGTGTCATGGATAGTTGCTTTCAATTATGAAACAGTAGCTGATAAGTAATTCCCCAAAGAAGAAAAAAAGCAAGAAGAGTCCTCAAGAACACTATAAACAAAATCGCTCCCTGGCAGTCACCCCTTCCTGCGGTCTCTGTGCAACCCCATGGCTCACAAATTCCTTAATCACATCTCCCAGTAGTGGGTATCAATCAGTGCAATGAAAAGAATACGAAAACAACAAAAACACGGAAGAAAAACTCTTGAAAAGGAAAAGAAACTTTCAAAAACTAGGCGTCTGAATTTAGGGTTACGGTAGCGTGCATCTTTTAGTGTAGTGCGTCGAGCTTTTGCACCACGAAAATTGGGTCGCTCGTGATTTTTACGCGTTTCACCTTGCAAGATGGGTTGGAGTTGACTGTATGTGCTCCTAATAAATAAAATGTAATGAAGGAGAGCAGAAGCATTCATGGGCACGAGCACGTCAGCAAAAAGGGCATGCAATTTCGGTTAGTGCCCGCCGCCCAACAAAGAACAACTGAGCGGCTTCCGTCAGAGGGCATCTAGCAAGTGGGCGGTCCAACTGGGCGGGCGTTAGAACTAGAACTTTCAGCTGTAGCTCGCTCCTCGCTCGCTGTGGAGTCGCGAGAGTGGGATAGTCTCTAGCTTGGGGGCTGTACTACTTGCACAAGGAAGGACGACCATGTACTACTCGAGCGCGGGGCTGTCTTTAAAAAAACCCTTTTGGCCAAGTACGACCAAATACGTCCCTCCCCCGCTGGGGATTCCCCGACGTACGACGTGGTCTGATTGAAATGGGTTAGCGTTTAGACATCACTGAGGATATGCTGCTTTTGTAGTGCGTAAGCACTGGAAGTCAATTATCCGTTGTTGATTCAGCTGGAACCGGCTCGTTTGGGCATCCGACGTTCGGTGCAGCGATGTGAGGCGACCGGTGCAAATTTTGGTGCTGACATTGCCACGTTCTCGTTCAGTCATGAAGCCATTGGATGTGCAACACATCCAGAACCACTTGAAGCGTGTACAGAACCTGTTGTGGTAAGTAAAAATTTCATCATAAATATTCATGCACCTTATGGCTGGGTCCATGCCGACCTCGTGAATTCCTTATGTCATAAAGATGGTAAAAGCGCTTTATGAATCCAGTCAGCTGTTCACGTTTTTTAGAAAATACTAGTTTTTGCGCGAAAGCTAGAAGAGTGGTCACGTGTGGTTTGATGTTCATTTTCGGACCAAAGGGGATGTAAACTGAACTGTCTGGGTTGCTACTGATCCCATCATGATTTATACAGAGTACCCTTTCAATCAAATATATATTGCATGAGGGACGGACATGCAAGTTGAAAGTTTTGGTACTCAAAAAAATCTAATAAATTATGGTTGCCAAAACTTTCTGAGGGGAGGGTATTGAAGGATTCCTTGCTGTGAGCGCTCCTAGTTTCTTCACCCACCTCAGTGCCCTGTCCGCCTTTTAGCTTAAACAGAACTTTTCATCTCTTCTTGGTAACCTTAATTTGCACTGTCTTTTAAATGCTGCCACTCAAGGTTTTAGCTCCCAGCTCATGTAGTGCTCTTCAAAGTGCTGTGCCCGTTGTTCACGATGGGTTGAGTAGCCCTGTATTAATTGTGGTAACTTTCAGTATCCTGTTAATGCCACTCTGTGTGCCTCGAATTTTGCATTGGTCCCGAGAGGAAACTGTAGTTTTTCCGAGAAGGTAATATTTTTTTTCCTCGACTTTCGGAGTTTTCTGAACTTTTCGTCGGATACTGATCAGTTATATGCAGGCATATCACGTCCAACGTGCCGAACCGACGGGATTTCAAGCGTTGATTATCTACAACTCCGAAGGGAAACCTCCAATTGATATGGCTGGTAGTAAATATGCTGACGCGGTAGGTTTCATCTTATATTTAGTTTTTGCAGGATTTTTGGCATAGAAGAGCATTCAATGGGCGTTTCAAAGGAGGCAAGAATAGCACATCAGCAACACAGACGGTAAACAGTACCCAGGAAATTGCGCGTGAAATCAAAGGTTTCTTCCCCGGATGCACACAATTGGTCATGCCCTGAGCCAGATTATTACCCAAGTTTATTAGCCGCGTTACACCTTACACCCTGAACCTTTTGCACGGGAAGCTCCCGGGGAGGCTAGGAAGCGAGATTGACATCAATAAGCGCTTTTCCTGTGGCCAGGGGCCGCCTGGGCAGGGACTGTGTGCTGCTGCGTGTACTTGCTGCTCTTACACACTCAGTTTTACGCACAGTTTGCGGTACTGTGTGCCGTCTGTGTTCCTGAAGTTATAAAGTAGCTCAGGGAAGATGGCCACTACTGCGCTTTTGACATTGTGATTTAGTTTGAGATGTTGATGCCTTTCAATAATGATGAATTTTTCCAGGTCCGAATTCCGGTGCTCATGATCTCTTACCAATGTATGATAGCAATTAACATTACATATCCAGCTAGTCAAGGGTTAGTTTTCTCGACAAGGATCGCTGCTCTTTTTGATTTTGCTGAATTTTTGATTTTCAGGTACATCGTACAGATCAAAGTATCACCGGGTTACTACGATTTGTTCCGATACCTTATTCCATTTGTAGTCGTCGTAGGATTCTGCTTCATTGTACTGCTTATCAGTTTGGTAAGTTTTTTTTTGTTCGCTGCACGTAAAGGCAGTGGGCACGATAGCTAGGGGCGGAACGTTTGTCATTGGTGGAAAGGCTGAGCTGGTGTGGCCAAACGCCATCGCAGCCCTCCACCAATGATGCTAGCAACAACCGTCCGCCTCCAGCAGTCGTAGCCACTGCCTTTAGTGATTAACTCCTTAAGTCCGACCCACCGATTGACTCATTTAAAGATATTGAAGGCGATACGATTGTGTCGTGAGCGTCGACGCGTCGCTCGAAAACGTCTCTCGAAAAGGAATCTTCGAAAGATTCCAACGAAGAAATTCCGGAAAGGTAAATCGATTTTGGCGCTATTTTAGTTTTCTTGTGAAATATCGATGCTTCTAGGAGACGAACCAGAAACGTGTGCTATTTGCCTAGACGACTTCATCGAGGGTGAAAAATTGCGTGTTTTGCCATGTCGACATAGTGAGTTATGCTTCATTTTTATTCCCTTCGATATTGGAATGTTAAGGAAGGAAATGCAGTAGTAGTTGGAACTTCGGAGTGATTTCGTAAGAACACCGGGGCCTCACAAAGCTCTCAAAGTATGTTAATTTAGCTCAGAGCGCTAAAGTCACTGCTAGGGCCAGAGCGTGTCATTGCGATGGGGTGCATGAAGGGCAGATATCCGACTAAATAACGAACTTAGTAAAAAATAACATCACGGCAAGAGGGTAGGGTACACATACTTTGAAGGAGAAAAGCGTTTCACATAGTTGACCTATCAAATGGAATATGGGGCGGTTTTCATGAGGATAAGGCAGCGTTCAGCCATCGCAATGATCAGCTACCCTCCTATCCATGCTGCCTTCCCGTCTGGCATTGGAGCGCTTTTGTAGTGGTAGCGCGTGATCGCGAAGTATGAACCCTGCCTGATATGCCCTGTATAGGGCTCATAGGCAGCACCACGCAACCATGATGTGTACTGATTCCAGTACCTTCTTTTTAGCACTTGACATTTCCCATTACTGTTTCGATTTTGCCATCGATTGTTTTTTTTATGAAAAAGGCTGAGTATAGCTACAGCTGGGTTACCCCATTGATTAAGCTTTAAAAAAACTAGTAGTTCACCTCGGTGAACTACTAGTTTTTTTAAAGCTAAATCAATGGGTAACCATTATCTGTTAATTACTTTACTGTCTATACCAACAACAAGTGTGGTTTAGCCTATCATTGCAATTGTATCGATCCATGGTTAACTCAAAATCGAAAAGTTTGCCCTATGTGTAAACGGCGTGTCGGTGCAAAGAACTCGGATTCTGAATCAAGTGACGATGAAAGACGACAGGAGGTAGCGTTTCCTGTTTTTTTTCTAAATCTCGCTATTCGGTTTCTTGTTTTTCTTAGAGTGCTTGTTTTTCGTTTTTCGTTGATTCGTGGATTTTAGCAACCTACATCTTCTCGAAGCACATCAGTTACTCATACCTATCTCGAAGACGAAGAAAGGACCGAAACTCCGATTGGTGAGTTCCTTTTTTAAATTAAATTATTTATCTTGATCAATTCAGAAGGGAGAAGACGAAAGTAACTACCTATAACTTAATTCTTTGTCATATAATCGTGTCGACCCACTAACCTTGGGAGAGAGGCATTTAAAGGCAGTGGGCACGATGACTGGGGCGGGTTACTACTGCTAACGCCATTGGTGAAAGGCTGTGGAAGGCGTTTGGCCTTGCTACACTCTGCCCTTCCACCAATGACGTTGGCAGTAATCGCCCGCTTTTAGCCATCTTGCCCACCACCTTCAAAAGACCCTATGTAAAACCGGAATTCCTGCGATCGACGTGAAGACGCGTGCCCAAGCGTGGAGGCAGCATGAGGTGTGGGGTTGGCGAACCAAATTCAACGGAAGAGAGTTCGATGGCGGTTTTCGCCACCGTTATTGGTGGAAAAGGTGGGCGGTGTGGCCAAACGCCCTCTCGCAGCCCTTCCACCTATGGCGTTAGCGACAACCGCCTGCCCCCAGCCATCATGTCCACTGTCAGTGCTTCTATTTGCATGACGGTTGTGCCAGTTTTGCACAAGGAGTCCTTGTAATGCGCTCCCGCCACCGAGAGCTCATTAGAGCCGTCATGTCTGTGTTGTGAGAACGCGTGGCGCCACTCAGTGTTTAGTGAAATAGCTTCTAGCCTAGGATAGAAATTGTATCAGATTTAACAGCTTGTGTTCTGCTATTTCTCATTTTTTTTCAATCAACTGCTTCAATCTGTGATACGTGGGAGGGTCTAAAAAAGAGGTACTTGGCTCATAGCGCTCACCAGTAAAGCTTATTCCGCACGGATGGGGTGGATAGACTCTTCGGACCTTTACTTCGGACATCGTTCTCAAATTCTTTAACTTCAGACTCCGTCGTATCAGCGTATGTGGGATCCTTATACTTTTGACAATCGGCTTGACAGGCAAGGTCGAGTCTTGAGAGGCCAGTTGTCAACCGACATCGTTCCAACGGCAGGACGGCATCAGTTTGTGGCAGTACCAGAGCGACAGTCTTCAGGAACATGACCGAAATGATTCAACACTGGGAACCACACAGCTGATTCAGGAAGAAGTCGTGCAAGCCTTCTTGAGTTCGTCTTCCACGGCGGATGGCTTCAGCTTCTCGCGATTGTGCACAAATTGGACGAATGCTTTCTTCTGCTTACCAATGAACTTCTCGAAAATATATCACCCGGCTCTTTCCCACGCTTATTATCACCGGGTGCGATGTAACCTTTATAGGTGGGCGGCATGAGCAAAATCGTTTTTTATTGGTATATGAGGAAGTTTCGAAATGAAGTTGATAATGTGACAGTCTTGTACGCTGCAGATGCTAGGGCGTGTCAGACCGGATGGGTTTGACCCTAGCGCCAAACTCGTTCTGTTTTGTTGAAGCGGGTGAGCGACAGCAATTGGTGGGAAACAAACTGGCGCCGCTCCAGACCCTGCCCGTTGAGACGCGCCAGCATCCGCAGCGAACAAAACTGTACCGTGTATGCCACGTGATTCCTCCCGAGGCGCATAGCGCCTTTGAAGTGATGACTTTGCACCCGGTTGGAATGACTGACTTGATTGATGGAACAAATTTCATTCTAGTTCTGTTTTCTCGTCACATTCGTGAACTTCCTTATTGTAATGATTTCAGCTTCTACTAGTCAAGTACTGGCAGATGTACATCACAGTGATATCGGCGGATCTCGTGAACAGTTGGTGGAAACCGACGAGGTCGCATTGCAAGGAGAAACGAGGAACAACGGACGATGAGGCTGAGACGAATACGCTTTCACAGTCACTCAAAATACTGAAAGGATTCTTCACGAAGTCATCGTCGCGACCACCGATGGATGTAAGTTTGCTTTGACTGCTGTGTCCTTTATTGAGCCCTGTATTCCGGAAACTGATGGTCGTAATTGCGGACTCAGCCTGTTCGCTAGGACGACCTCGAAAAAATTGACAGTGTAAGTGAACAAGATGATCCGCTTCTTATTGCTGGAACCTTGTGGCACTCAAAGAATAAAATAGAAGGCTGTTGGGGCTAGCCACCCTAGAAAAGTGCGAAATATTTCGAGGCCATGCCAACCGAGCCATTTAGTCTGTAATTACGACCCACCTAAGCGTCGGTCGGATATAGGTGTTGGTATTGGTGCAAGCCAAGCTTAGGAGAATAGACCTTGTCTCTTTTAGGGATCTGGAGAAGTGAACGATGCTTATGAAGGTGGAAGTACTCCTCCGGCAGACACAGTATCTGTTGAAACGTCAATTTTTTTTGAAGATGTTTCACTCGAAGAAGGGTGAGCTTTCGTTGATTCTGATTGGCTTCGTTTACTGTTAGCGATGTTGCCCGCTGACCCATAGTAATTCATCGAGTACCATTCGCTCTCAATCAACTGGCAGATTCTAGGGATTCTGGAATTTCGCTTGATCCCTAATTATTCTTGATCTGAGAAATGTCGATTTTTTTTCGTAAAGTTCATGTAGGTACAGTCCTCATCATTGCGGACCGGTGGGGCGTGGCAGTGCGGCTGCGTCTGGTGCGGTTTGGCAGAGTCGTTCTGCACCAGTTTTTGAAGCGGGCAAAAGCATTACTGTATTGTATCCTTCGTATTACTCGTTTTCTACCACTTTTTGTCGCATACGCGTTTCAACAAAAAGGCTGAGAACGGCTTCAACAGTGTGCGCACTCCTACTGGCTGACACGCCCCACCGGTCCGCAATGATGAGGACTGTACATCAAGTATCCCAGGGCCTGGCTGCATCTCACCGTGACGGGCGTATTTGGTGAGCACGGCAGGACAGTTGTAATTTTATGTCTAATACAAGACAGAAAGGGAGAAACTTTCCTTGCCATGTTCAAATGAAGCACGTAGCTACCCCCACTCCATTCTTTGGATATGGAGTGTAACATGTTCTTTTAAAGTTGTAAGCCATCCTCTGTTCTGCGGGAAATGTTTTTCATTCTAGTGGTTATTGATTGATTATGTGCCTGTGATGCCTTTTCACAAATTCGTTGCATTTCAGACGTGTGGACAATGGTGAAAGACGTCGCCATCCGGCTGGATCGCAGGCAGTTGTCACCGATCAGGTGCTACGTGATGAATCGCTGAGTGATGAGGAAGTTGAGAGCCGCGATGGACGCATGAAGCGTCTACGTACAAGACGTGAACGCGGTGGTGAAAAGTGAGTCCCATAGATTGCTTACAAAGTCACGTTTTTGCCTTTTTTCATGGGAAACATCTCCAACTTGCTCGCTTCCTCGGGAAGGGATGAATCAGTAATCAGGGTTCTGAGTGTACAGGGGGGGGGGGCAAAAAAGTCACTTCGACCGAGTCACATATCAGCAAAGTTTTCGCTGCCCAGACAGAGGACGTGGATACGAGTACCAGGGCGGAAGATACCCAAGATGTTCCTCTATAAGCAGGAGCTGGCTCTCGCCCATCACCTTCATGTACACCAAAATAACCTTTGGAATTCATGTCACCTCCAAACAGCTGCGAAACTTCTAGTATGGAGTCACCCATGGATAGCTACCTGGAGACCAGTACTCTCGATCTGGATGACCTCCAACATCGAGCAGCTCCGACAACGTCGCCACGGTCTAGGACATCATCTTCACCGCAGTCGCCAAGGCGCGGGTTGATGGTATGGACCGGACGTACCTGGAATGGAAAGACCAATATTTTCTTCGTGGACCCCGGACTGAAGGTGAGCGCTGGCGGTTACATTGGGCAACTCGTGAAGAATATCCTCCTCACATGTGGTCGCCCGTACCTTCTTGGAAACTTTGTACTGCTACAGCA